AAAAAAAAAAAAAAAAAACTTGCATGGTATTATAACTTTTCATATTGCAAGTCTGTTCCTTGGTTTCATTTTTTTAGAGCGTTAGAAGGCACTTTCCGTTAGTTCATTCAATCCTTCACATATTTATTGAGCGCCTACCATGTGGAAAAACGGAACAGACCCTGCCTTCGTGGACCTAAGCCTAGTGAGACAGACAGATACTAAAATGGACACACAATTGAATGTGAAGTTAATAGCAGTGGTGAGTGCTACAAAGGAGAGTTACATGGTGATAGGAGAATTTAAAATAGGGAATTTGGCTTAAGGGAAATAAAGTGAGGATCCAGCCGAGAGTGGAAAGGTTATCATAAGTTAACTAAGAAAAGAACATTCCAGACAGAAAGAATAACGTGTTGGAAAGCCTGTGTCTAGAGGCTTTTAAAGTGTGAAGATTAATTGTGAAGACCTGAAGGGGGAGGAGAGGGGAGGGGAGGCAGGAGAGTAACCTACTATTATGCAGTTTATTAAGGAATTGTTCTTACCTAAGAGCAAAGGGATGTTTTCAAAGGGTTCTCAATGGGTAGGGAAACAGGACCAGATCTGAATTTTGCAAGGATCACTGGCTGAAGAGTAGAGATCTAGACTAGAGAACCTAATCTAGAAGTGAGCGCAGGGAGCCCAACCAGGAGATTATTGCAGTAGTAGTCCACACAGCGGACAATCTATTTTCATATTAATACTCATCCATCAACTGTTTGAACCCATTTAAGGCAGTTTGCCAGTTTTGGAAGTGAGTAGTTTCAGACTGTCTCATAGAGGCATTCTGTAGTTATTCAATCTAAAAATAAATGAGTAGAATTCATGTAACACTAATGCCCCTTTATGTTTGAGTCTAGTACATGATGGCTGAAAGTTCCAGCCATGATAAATAGGACTCCTTTAGGTCAAAAAAAGAAAGAAAAAAAAAAAAAAAAAAAAAAAAAAAAAAAAAAAAAAAAAAGCATGTATGCCACAGTGTATAGAACCCCTTAGACTCTTTAAGAAGACACAAAACATTACTTTTCAATACCTAGAAAAATTGAGGTTCCTGTATTTTCCTACTACCAAGAATACTTGTGTATAAACATCCTCTAGGAAAGGAACATTAATTGACTTGTTCAATGAGTGTTCTTAAGGTAATTTTTAAAGATTCATAACTGGTTTTGTTTTTGTTTTTGTTTTTTTTAATAGCGTTGACAAAGCCTTGAGAATTGAAACAAAAGTTAGTTAGCTCTGACTTCTGGGCAAGAGTATACTTGTTACTGATCCACAGGGAGACAAAAGAGTTCTTGAAAGGTGGACTCATTGATTTTTAAGTTAAGTACATTGCTTTCAACCTTGTTGGGAAGAGATAGCCACCAACTGCTTTAAATGCAGAAATATATAAAAAAAACATGCTTGTTTTTATTTTTTATCTTACCTTTAATTCTGTTCAATAATTTACCTAAGTGATTATTCTTGTTACTTTTTTTTTTAATCTCTTAAGAATGAGATAACATGTCAAAGTTTAAACAGTATAGATAAAAGATTACTAAACTGATTTTTGGATAATTTCAAAATATTTTCTGGACTTTTTTTCCCCCCTTGTGACATCCTTGGTATTCATTGTCAGTTAAGGGAGGTGTAAAACTTTCCTACATGGAATGTTTCTCCTTGAGGTCATATTGCTAAGATGATTTCCTTTGCTGGAGTGCTCAGTTCTTTTTTTGTTGCTTTTTGTTTTTAATTTAAGTTTATTCATTTTGAGAGAGAGAGCATGCGGGGTAGGGGCAGAGAGAGAGGGGAGAGAATCCCAAGCCCCCGATGCGGAGCTTGCACTCACAAACCATGAGATCATGACCTGAGCTGTCAAGAGTCAGAGACTTTAACCAACTGAGCCACCCGGGCGCCCCTAGAGTGCTCAGTTCTTATAATTGTTTCACCTAAACACTCCAGAGTAGATTATAAAAAACGCACTTTTCAGTCTTTTTAGTTCATGATCCTAGAGACAAAATCATTGTTATAGAAGCAAAAGAAAACAGATAAAGGTGAGAAACCTCCTAAAATGTACCCAAGATGTGAGAGCAATTAGTAAAGAAGATTCCTAAGATAAGGACAAATAAAAAACAGCAAAGAAGCAAAGTAGAGATTGGATTCAATAGAAAAGAAAGATTGTAGGAAGACCATGAGTGTTATTCTAGGAAATATCAAAGTAAATGTAAAACTCAGAATAATAAATCACTACAGAGAAGTGTGTGTGTGTGTGTGTGTGTGTGTGTGTGTGTGTGGATACAGGGAAATATTTTTGATAATTGCATTCAAACTAATGCACGTCTTAAATTAGAATCTTTGAAAGGATTGACTGTAAAGAAATTACAAGAGAGGAGTTTTCCCCTTAAATTTTAAATATATAAAACGTATCTCAAATGCTCTTGGGGAAAAAGTATGTTTACGAATTTATATAATCACTCAAATATAAAGTATCTAAATCTGTTGATTTGTTTTGACATTGATTTGGTTTTATGCCTTTTATGGTTGAGTACAGTAAGAAAAGCTTAATATAAGTTTTGTAACTAAGGAAATCACTTAAAATCCAGATGAGTACTGGGACCAATGAAATCACTTGAAGACTTTCCTTTTTTTTTTTTTCCTTAAGAGAGATAATTTATATATCATATAGTTCACCCATTTAAAGTATACATTTTGGTAGGTTTCAGGATATTCACATGGATGTGCAACCATCACAACCTAATTTTAAAATATTTTGAACCCTACAAAAAGAAACTTCATCTCCATATTCTTCCTACCCCAACTCTAGGCAATCACCAAACTACTTTCTATCTTTGTAGATTTGCCTATTCTGAACATTTCATATATTATATGGTTTTTTGTGACTGACTTCTTTCACTTCAGCATGTTTCAAGATGTCACCTGTGTGGAATTTTCTTTTAAAACAAAACTGAAAGTGTACTTGCACAAAAACACCTTGAGATACAAATTCCTTTGCAGTTTAACACTCAAAATTAATTTAGTGAATGAGATCATCTTTATCCTTCTCCTTTTTCACAGATCAGCTTTGAAATTCAGAAACAATGGAGAAGACGCAAGAAACAGTGCAAAGAATTCTTCTAGAACCCTATAAGTATTTACTTCAGTTACCAGGTAACTTTAGTTATGGTTAATATAGGGTCTTTTTATAGAGTAGTAGTCATTCAAATGTTAAATTACTGAAAAGATTAGATTTACCATCTCTTAAGATTTCCTATTTAAAGGCATGCATTGGAGAAAAATGACAAATAGAACATTTTAGTTTTTTGTTCTTAAAAGGACATTTTTGTTTTGCTTTTTTTTAATTTTTTAATGTTTATTTGATTTTGAGAGAGATAGAGTGTGAGCAGGGGAGGGGCGGAGAGAGAGAGAAGTGGGAGGAGACACAGAATTCGAAGCAGGCTCCAGGCTCTGAGCTGTCAGTACAGAGCCCAGCGCGGGGCTGGAACCCACAGACCGAGAGATCATGACCTGGGCTGAGGTCAGAGGCTCAACGGACTGAGCCACCCAGGCTCCCTAAAAGGGACATTTTTGAAGCATTGTTTTAAAAATGTCCAATTATACAACATAACTAAAAAAAAAAAAATTAAAACATTTGAGTACCTCATTGGAAGTTTCATTCTTTATGGATGCCATACATTCCTATTCCCCACCATTTAGATATTAGGGGAAGTTACTCCAATTTGTATAACAACAAAAAGCTTCACTCTATCTTCCATGTTCATTTGTTCTACTATCACATACACACTGCATTTCTTACACTACTGGTTCCTTTAAGAGCCAAATAGTAATGCATCTCTAACTCACATTACCTGGAAACAGCCCACGTTATTCGTATATAAAGATGGGTCATCCGAACATGGCTTCTTAGAGTAACACCTGCCTAATCACGTGTGTGTGCATGTTTTATTTTGCTATTTTTTTAAGCTTGGTTTGGAAAATAATAATAGCAACTAAAAACTCATATATATAATAAGCGTGGGTTTTTGTAATAAAAATTCATTCACAAACCAAGTACTTGAAATTTGGAATTCTCTTTCTTATAGAAATTATAAAAGGTGATAAATTAGTTGACAACCATAAAAACCTACTTAGCATGCAAGGTAGCTAACCTTTAGACTAATAACGTTCTCAACTCAATCACGATAAACACTTTTTTATTTCTGTTCTAAAGTGCGTATCTTTCTTTATGGGGACATGTCAGTGGTATGTTTCTGTTCTTCATGAGCCTGGAGAGAATAAATATGGTTATCAAAGGCAGAATAGTGGTGGCTCCCCAGCTACATCCTCAAAACCATCATGATTAGTGTCATTTCTATTCTGGCAAATCTTAATGAAGACATACCTGCTAATGTCAGTGCTTCAAAAGAATGAAGGGAACTATCTATTTCCTAACTCAAGTTATACCCAGCCATATTATCCCATATAACTCACCAAAGGTTATTAGATGAAATCTAATTGACAGAATGAAGATACTCCATAGTACAACAGAAGCTATTTAAAAGTATCCAGAATTAGGGGCGCCTGGGTGGCGCAGTCGGTTAAGCGTCCGACTTCAGCCAGGTCACGATCTCGCGGTCCGTGAGTTCGAGCCCCGCGTCGGGCTCTGGGCTGATGGCTCAGAGCCTGGAGCCTGTTTCCGATTCCGTGTCTCCCTCTCTCTCTGCCCCTCGCCCGTTCATGCTCTGTCTCTCTCTGTCCCAAAAATAAATAAACGTTGAAAAATAAATAAATAAATAAATAAATAAAAGTATCCAGAATTTGTCGGATATAAATTACCTTCCACTGTGATGATTCCAGTGACAAAAAAAAAAAAAAAATTAAAGATGAAATCCTCAGGGTGCCTGGGTAGCTCAGTCAGTTAAGCATCTGACTCTTGATTTCAGTCTAGGTCATGATCTTACAGTTCATGGGATCAAGCCCTGAGTCTGGCTCCATTCTCACTCTCTCTCTGCCCCTCCCCCGTGCACACACTGTCTCAAAAAATAGTAAATAAAGATGAAATCCTCAAGATACGAAGGACAAAGAAGATACGTACTTTTTAAGAAACTTCTAGTCTGTTAATATTTTGAAATTCGTTACAGATAGTGCACCTCTTTATTACCTACAGCCAGGGTACATAATTCTACCTTGCTCTTGGCATGGTGCTGCTTTTTATTGATGTATAACATGCATAAACAATGATCATAAGTACAGCTCAAAAAGTTATGGAGGGGTGGCAGTGCCTGGCTGGGTCAGTCAGTAGAGCATGTGACTTTTTTTTTTAATTTTTTTTTTTCAACGTTTTTATTTATTTTTGGGACAGAGAGAGACAGAGCATGAACGGGGGAGGGGCAGAGAGAGAGGGAGACACGGAATCGGAAACAGGCTCCAGGCTCCGAGCCATCAGCCCAGAGCCTGACACGGGGCTCGAACTCACGGACCGCGAGATCGTGACCTGGCTGAAGTCGGACGCTTAACCGACTGCACCACCCAGGCGCCCCGAGCATGTGACTTTTAATCTCAGGGTCATGAGTTCAAGCCACGTTGGGCATAGAGCTTGAAAAAAGTTATCAAAGGGGTTAGGGAATGGGTAAAAAGGGGTGAAGGGGAGTGAGAGGTACAGGCTTTCAGTTACAGAATGAATAAATCACAAAGATAAAAAGTACAACATAAGGAATATAGTCGTTGGCATTGTAATTAACGTTGTTGGAGGGAAAACAGAAATGTAGAATGCAAAGGGAAAGTTTCCTGCTATTTAAGGAAAAGCCAAGAGACTGCTTTTGAGTGACGTTTATTCAACAGCTAGTAAACTACACTTATTTCAGGGTCTCCCACTGAGAAACATGGTGATGTTTCTCCTGCACTCTCTTCATCTGTTGTTGAACTTATTTTGGAACAAGTTTGCAAACACTGGTTGGAACCGGGCTATGGTAATATATGCCAGTTATCAGTGCCGTAAAGGGTCTAAAGAGTGTCTCCTGCCACTTTGCAGAGCAAGGACTGTCTGTAATTTTATTCTGTGTGTTTATTTATTTATTGTAGGGAGAGTGGATATGAGAGGAGCAAGGGAGAGAGAGAATCCCAAACCAACTTCACATTTGGAGCCCAATGCAGCCCACTGTGGGGCTCTAACCTACAACCCTGGGATCACAACCCAAGTCAAAATCAAGAATCAGAAGCTTAACCTATTGAGCCACCCAGGCACCCCTGTAGTTACATGTTAGCAATAATGTTTACCTGTGTAATGAACTTCTGTAACATTTTTTAATCCTCATCTTGAATTAATATCTAAGTCATTAGATAACATTTAAAGCTCTCATTAGGTAGCTAATTTGTTTTAATCAAATGTATTCTTGCATCCATAATACAATGTAACCTCAAAAGATTTTCCTAAAGAAATAAGAAATTGTGTGGCACCTGGCTGGTTCATCAGTGGAGCACGGGACTCTTGATCTCGGGGTTGTAAATTTGAGCCCCATGTTGGGTGCAGAGATTACTTAAAAAAAAAAAAAAAGGAAATAGGAAATTGCACTATGCATAGTAAACCTGTTTTTCACAGAGAACTTCATAGTTACTAAAGTGACTTCAAGATGGGCCAGAACATTTTTTCTGTTGGGAAATTACTCTTGCTAATAAATATTATAATAATTAAAAATTATTAGTATTAGGATGTTTTGAAATTAGTGGGGTTGAATGACTTTTGTTTGTTTATTTGCCCTAGTGTAGGTCCCCAGGCCAGGGAGTCCGTAATGTTAAGGTCTTTTAAAGAGGAAAGGTAATTATTGTTTCTTTTCATTTTGAGGGATTTCTATGACTAACATCTGTTAGAAACTATTTGGGGACTTAAAAGTATCAATCCAGACCCCAGAACCTGGTTAAAGGAAAAGAATATATTCAAACACAACTGCAGGGGCACCTGGGTGACTCGGTTGAGCATCTGGCTCTTGATTTTAGCTCAGTCATAGTCTCCCAGTTCGTGAGATGGAGCCCTAAGTTGGACGCCACGCTGACAGCTGGAGCCTGTTTGGGATTCCCTCTCTCCCTCTCCCTCCCTTTTCCTCCCCACTCTGCTTCTCTCTGCCCCTCCCCTGCTTGTGTGCGGCGCGCTCTCTCTCTCTCTCTCTCTCTCTCTCTCAAAATAAATAAAGTTTGGGGAAAAAAACTTGTAACTTAAGCCATTTATTGGACTGTTTTTCTATATATATTCTAAAGCAAAAAGGAAAATGTCTCTCCACTTTGTGTTCATCTTCTGAACTTTTTTTTCTTTTTTTAGAGAGCAAACCCGCGCAAGCAGGGGGGAGAGGCAGAGAGGGAGAATCTTAAGCATGTGCCACACTCAGCATGGAGCCCAACATGGGGCTCAATCCCCTGACCCTGAGATGATCTGAACCAAATTCAAGAGTTGGTTGCTTAACCAACTGAACTCCCCAGGCACCTCTGAGCTTATTTTCTAAAGTGATATGGGTTACTTTACACACTTGTACATTGTAAGTAAAGCCCAGATTGGCCTTAGCTAAACTGGAAAGTAGATCAAAAGTATAAAGTATATAATTGCTACCCAGACCATGTTCACCTTAAGGATTAGGAGACAGAAGATACTCCTTCTTGAACCCTAAGAGAGCCTTCCCCTCCAGACTTCTCACAGAAAGTGCAACTTTCTTTCATTTGGATATGTGATGAGAGTTTACGTATTCATTCCTTTGGGTGATTGGTACAGAGAAAAAAAACCTAGATAAGTCTTAGAAAATACTGTTTTTGTTCATTGGAACTTTTTATGTAACTATTTTCTGAAACCTCATCTGAAATTAGGATGTGACTGTGCATTCACTTTAGCAGGAAGCTCATAGAACATTATTAAATGAACTGGTTGGGGTTTTTATCTATCATTCCTTTATATTTGGGCTAAAATGACTTCTATTGATAACTACTAGCCAAAAATCTCTTGAGCTTTCCATGTAAGAAAATGATAATATTGAAAAACTAATGGCCGTAGTCAAAATAAAAAGACTCATTTTTTACTAAACTGGGATCCTAAAAGGGAATACTTGAGGGAATGGGAATCTCATTTTTTGATAGAAAAGAAGCAGAACTATACAATCTCTAAAACTTTAAAGGAATGGTAGATACTTGTAAGAGGTAATTATATGAGGTAAATCAGTAGCAAAGTATGCTTCATTAAAAATACCCATAGTGGGGCGCCTGGGTGGCGCAGTCGGTTAAGCGTCCGACTTCAGCCAGGTCACGATCTCGCGGTCCGTGAGTTCGAGCCCTGCATCAGGCTCTGGGCTGATGGCTCAGAGCCTGGAGCCTGTTTCACATTCTGTGTCTCCCTCTCTCTCTGCCCCTCCCCCGTTCATGCTCTGTCTCTCTCTGTCCCAAAAATAAATAAACGTTGAAAAAAAAAAAAAAATTAAAAATACCCATAGTGAGGTGCCTAGGTGGCTCACTCGGTTAAGCATCCAACTCTTGATCTCAGCTCAGGTCTTGATCTCAGGGTCGTGAGTTCAAGCCCCACGTTGGGCTCCACGTTGAGTGTGAAGCCTACTTAAAAAAAAAAAAAAATCCCCATAGTTCCTCTGAAATGGACAGTGCTAATTAACTGCCACTAACTAGACTAACTTGTTTTTCAAAAAAGGAATGCATTAGATCATAGTTTCTAAAATGCCCATTTCATTCCAGTGAAAGGAGTGGGCTTACTAGTGGGCCCCTGGAATACTTCAGAATGTCTTTGCCCGCCCTAATTTTAAAAGGCTGTGGCGTTTTAGACTGAATTTCAGCAGAGGGGGTGGGGCGTTTAGGGCCCAGTAGTGAAAGGCAAGCTCTCTAGTAATGGATTAGTGGGGCTGGGTTCATCAAGTCTGATCAGTCTTAGAGGAAGTGTCTGAATGTGTTTTTTATAACTGAAATATTTTATTGCCGAATTTTATTCTTTAATTCCAGGTAAACAAGTGAGAACCAAACTTTCACAGGCATTTAATCATTGGCTCAAAGTTCCAGAAGATAAGCTGCAGGTATTTAGGCAATTCAAAACCTCTTAATCCTTAAGAAATTAATAGATGTCACACAAAATACTCGTTGCTCTTAATTGAGTTTAATGTTCCCCGCATATATTGTATTATATTGACATTGCTAAGTAAATACCAGTTGTAAAAACTAAGGAATCCAGGACTTGTAATCTGTTAATTCAATTATTTATAAGCTTTTTGAATATTTGCACATTCAAATAAAATGAAATTGTCCATCGTCTTTTTTGTCAGATTATCATTGAAGTGACAGAGATGTTGCATAATGCCAGTTTGCTCATCGACGATATCGAAGACAACTCAAAACTCCGACGTGGCTTTCCTGTGGCACACAGTATCTATGGGATTCCGTCCGTCATCAATTCTGCCAATTACGTGTATTTTCTTGGCCTAGAGAAAGTCTTAACCCTTGATCACCCCGATGCGGTAAAGCTTTTTACCCACCAGCTTCTGGAACTCCACCAGGGACAAGGCCTAGATATCTATTGGAGGGATAATTACACTTGTCCCACCGAAGAAGAATATAAGGCTATGGTGCTACAAAAGACAGGTGGGCTGTTTGGATTAGCAGTGGGTCTCATGCAGTTGTTCTCTGATTACAAAGAAGATCTAAAGCCACTACTTAATACACTCGGGCTCTTTTTCCAAATTAGGGATGATTATGCTAATCTGCACTCCAAAGAATATAGTGAAAACAAAAGCTTTTGTGAAGATCTAACAGAGGGAAAGTTCTCGTTCCCTACTATTCATGCCATCTGGTCAAGGCCTGAAAGCACCCAGGTGCAGAGTATCTTGCGCCAGAGAACCGAAAATATAGATATTAAAAAATACTGTGTACATTATCTTGAGAATGTAGGTTCTTTTGAATACACTCGGAGTACTCTTAAAGAGCTTGAATCTAAAGCCTATAAACAAATTGATGCACGTGGTGGGAACCCTGAGCTTGTAGCTCTAATAAAGCACTTAAGCAAAATGTTCAAAGAAGAGAATGAATAATACTAAGTCATTCTTGATTAGGCCTGGGAGCTTATTTTAGTTGACTTTTTTTTTTTTTTTTTTTTTTTTTTTTTTTTTTTTTTTTGTCTTTTAGCCTATCACTTTTTTAAAAATTAGGACCAAGCTGTTAGTCTCCTCAAACTGAGTGAATTGGGGTGATGTGAGTGAGATTGTTTCAATTTAGAACCCCTTTGTACCGATAATCATAATAGTACAAAGTTGATGGAATCAAAAGGAGCCACATTTAAATAGGTCTAATATGAATGTCAGAATGTGCTGTGTTGGGACCTTATGGACAACTGCCACAAATGTTCTGCTAATTCTATCAATAAAGAAGACTTCAGCTTCTGGGAATTCTTATCCAGATACTTCTAACTGTGCTGTATGGGCAATTCCCCATTCTTCGTCTACCCCATTTCCAAGCCAGTGACTACTTGGAACCAGTTCCGGTAGCTAGCTGACCCAAAGACCACAGGACCTCCTCTTTCTTCCTAAATGTTGCTACTTAAAATATCTTCATCTCCTCTTGGAAACTCCCTTACTAAAGTCTGCCATGAAAAAGCTGACTGTGATAAGCAGTAAGCGATCTGGCCCTTTTTCTTACCTTTTCCTGTTTTTCATCCTCTCTGCCCAGCAAATTCTCCTTAACCAAGGAGTCTCCACTTACTGGAATTTATATGCTACCCCACATTCATTCTTTTTTCCTTCTAAATGTAATTTGTGACCCAAAGCTGATTAGTATCTGGATACGGCATTGTCTTTCCATTTGGAAAGAAAAAAGGGCACGTGGAAAATGTATTTTATGAAGTAGCCTTTATTTCAGTCTTTATATATTTTTCAGGGCGCCTGCATGGCTCAGTTGGTTAAGCATCCAACTTCGGATTAGGTCATGATCTCATGGTTCATGAGTTTGAGCCCTGTGCTGGGCTGTCAGCTCGGAGCCCACTCCGGATCCTCTGTCCCCCTCTCTCTCTACCCCTCCCCTGCTCAGGTGCACTTGCTCTCTCTCTCTCTCACTCACTCACTCAAATATTTGGGGGAAAAAAAAAACCTTTTTATATTTTCCTATCAGTAGTAAAAATCATAAAAGAGCTGTTTGCTCACCTGAAGTACAAAAGCAGAAGGAAGTGTCCTTTTCCTTGCCACTACTGAAGGCAATTGGTGCTTGAATGGAAAGGGAAGTAGGTATCTTTAATCTCTGTGATTAAAGGAATGTAAAGTGTTGACCTGAGAGCTGGTGCTTGGCTGGCTGAAAAGTAGTCAAAGCCTATGCTATCAGGCACTAATTAGCTTTACAGTGCTTTCATACTGACCCCCTATCCCTTTTGTGTACTTTCCACCCCCAAGCCCCTGGAGCCATCTGTGGCAACAAGAAGTAGCAAAGGAAAAACCCTGATTCCTTCACTTAGAAGTGTTGCTGACCTCCCAAAACAAAACTGCTTTCCAGAAACACTGCATTTTGCTTGATTGGTTCTATTCTGGTGTGTCATCTCAGATCTAATCACCATGTACTTGTATGAGAACTTCTCACTGAAGCACTCAATCTAAATCTTTGAAAAGCTGGGTACTATCTTTACTAACTTTTAAAATAATTTGGATCTGGGGCACCCTGGGTGCCTCAGTCCATTAAGTGTCCAACTTCGGCTCAGGTTATGATCTCTCATTTTGTGAGTTCAAGCCCTGCTTCAGGCTCCATGCAGACAGTGTGAAGCCTGCATAGGATTCTCTCTCCCTCTCCTTCTCTGCCCCTCACTCACTTGCGCCCTCTCTCTCTCTCTCTCTCTCAAATAAATTAGGGGCACTTGGCTGGTTCAATCAGTTAAGTGTCTAACTTCAGCTCTGGTTGTGATCTCACTGCTCATGGGTTCGAGTCCCGCGTCAGGCTCTGTGCTGACAGCTAGCTGAGAGCCTGGAGCCTGCTTCAGATTCTGTGACTCTCTCTGTTCCTCCCCTACTCACTCTCTCTCTCTCTCTCTCAAATAAACATTAAAATTATTTTTTTTTAAGGTTGACACAGTAGAATAGAGCTGATGGATTTAACATCTTGCTGAAAGTGATTTATGGCAACATAATTAGCCTTCATTCTTTTGGTTTTGGCAAGCAAAAAATTTTATTTTTTGAACCTTCATAGACTAGAAAATGTGAAAATGTTTTAAAATACATGTCTTCTAAATGACAAAATCCAGTTTACTTGGGTTCTAAGACTTTTGCAGAAAAAAAAATATTGTAGTTTAAACCTAAGTAGTTAATATATTTCATTAGATTTAAACTACTCTTACAGTGTTTTCTGTATTGACAACTGTGATTATAGTTCAAGTGAAAAGAATAGATTTTTGGTTACTTAATAGATAAAATGATTTCTTTTTTGTAAGATCCCAATTTCATGTCAAGCATTTCTGTCATTGACGAAGGCCTGATACAAATGACAAAAGAATCATGAACAGCACCAGGCCAAAAGTAATTTGATTAAGTAAGGAATAATCTACTTAGGCAGTCTTCATCTTAAAGGTAAATATTTTGTCTATATAGTTTTTTTTAACAATACTTCTTTTTTGTTTTTTAATGTTCATTTATCTTTGAGAGATAGAGACAGAGCATGAGTTGCGGGGAGGAACAGAGAGAGAGGGAGACACAGAATCTGAAGCAGGCTCCAGGCTTTGAGCTGTCAGCACAGAGCCCGACGCGGGGCTCGAACTCACAAACTGGGACATCATGACCTGAGCCAAAGTCCAATGCTTAACTGAGCCACCCAGGTGCCCCTATTTTGTCTATATAGTTAGCATTAGATCTTTTTGAATAATCATTAAAATTTTATTTTATGTAATGAATTCATAAACAGTTCAGGTTTCCATAATGTAGCATAAATACCCATGATTTTGAGGTTTCCTTATATCAATTAAAATGGAAGATTTCAAATTATTTTATTTTTTTATAATGTTTATTTTTGAGAGAGAGAGGGAGACACAGAATTGTAAGTAGGCTCCAGGCTCTGACCTGTCAGCACAGAGCCCAACACAGGGCTCAAACTCAGGAACCGTGAGCATGACCTAAGCCAAAGTCAGATGCTTAACTGACTGAGCCACCCAGGCGCCCCTATTTTACCTTTTATTAAATGTTTATTTCTGAGAGAGTAAGCAAGCATGAGCGGGAGGGGCAGAGAAAGAAAGGAAGAGTTCGAAGCAGGCTCCTCGCTGATCAGAGTTTGAACAGGGTTCGAGCTCACGAACTGTAAGATGGTAACCTGAGGCAAAGTCAGATGCTTAACTGACTGAGCCACCCAGGCACCCCCACTGTGTCAACTTCTAATTTGACTTCCTTTCCTTCCAGACCTATGCCCTGTATTTATTTACTTTAGGCAGCCTTTCAAGAATTTCTCAGATCAGGGTCCTTTCCTTAGGCCCTTCTCATCCTGCCAGTTCCCAATTCTAGAAGCATCCAACACCTGCACACTTTGCTCCCCCCATATTGCTGAGCACTGCTGGGGAATGTTTTCAGAACTGCCCTTGTAGCCATTGCAAATTAACATGTTAACAGCCTCCATAAGCCCTTTTATTTATTTTTTTTATCTATTCCTGATGGAGATTTCACATTGGTCAATCTAATGTCCCCTGCTTCTTCTCCACTCTTTTCCCAGTTAATGTAAGTTCTCCTAACTTTCCTCCTCTCTACTTCTTAAGTCTGTCTCAAATTGTCTTCCTTTCATCTCAAGAAAAGTTGTTTGTACTCATGACATAGGCCAAGCAAGCTGTCCTCTTCTTGATTCCCTCCCTTTCTGCCTCTTGAGGGCCTTATTCAATCCTCTGCCTTAAGATTCAGCCTCAAGGTTTATCCATTAGCTCTTTTTTTTTTTTTTTTCATGTTTATTCATGTATTTTGAGAGAGCGAGCAAGGAGGGGAAGGGGCAGAGAGACAGGGAGGGAGAGAATTCCAAGCAGAGTCCCACTGAGCCCAATGCAGGGACTTGCACTCATGAACCTCGAGATCATGCCCTGAGCCAAAGTTGGATGCCCAACCGACTGAGCCACCCAGGTGCCCCACCCATTGGCTCTTTCTTAATCTGTGTGTTGAGAAGAAGGAAAAGGGGAAGGAAATGTACATATATGAAGTACCTATCAGGTACCAGATGATTTGTTTTTTTTCTTCAAGCACTTGCTGAGCAGAGCCAGACCCTTGAGTATAGGTCAAAGTACATTGTTCTGGGCAGCTGGCCTCTCATTCTTTTTTTTTTCTTTTTTAATTTTTTTTAATGTTTATTTATTTTTGAGGGAGAGAGAGCATGAGTGGGGGAGGGGCAGAGAGTGAGGGAGAAACAGAATCTGAAACAGGATCCAGGCTCTGAGCTGTCAGCACAGAGTCTAACGCGGGGCTCAAACACAGGAACCACGAGATCATGACCTGAGCTGAAGTCGGTCGCTTAACTGACTGAGCCACCCAGGCACCCCACTGGCCTCTCATTCTGTATGCACATTTATATGCGTTTAAAGGTTTGGAAACCACTCGTGTATTGTAATAATATACACTCCAACCAGAGTTGTCTTTCTAAAGCATAAATGTGATGGTCATCGCCATGCTTATATTCTCTTTGAATCCTTAGTACCATCACCTATAAATTCCTTGGTATAATACATAAGACTTCCCAAAATTTTATCTCCAACCCACCATAACCATATTTCCTAACAGTTTACTCTGTCATAAAATAGGGCTCATTGTTGCTGACATCATCTATTTTCATTTAATTCATTTAGAAATATTTCCTGAATGCTTATGTGCTAGATCCTTTGCTAGGTTTTGGAGATATAAGAGTGATAAAGACACCATTCCATAACCCTGTGATTTTTCTGTGATGGAGGCTAGCAAGTAAATAGCCAACTATTAAACAGCATTGTTACTGCTGTAATGGGTGGCACGGGGTGGGGGGGGGGGGGGGGGGGGGGGGTGTAATTGTTTACTTATCTGCCTCTCCCATTGGATTGGAAACTCATTAAGGGCAAGGACTGTGACATATTCACCCCTGTATTCCCAGAAACACTTGATATTTTTTAAATGTTTATTTTGATTGAAAGTGCGAGCGAGTAGGGGAAGGGCAGAGAGAGAGGGAGGGAGAATTCCAAGCAGACTCTGCACTGTCAGCGCCCAGTGTGGGGCTCAAACTTATGAACTGTGAGATCATGACCTGAGCCAAAATCAAGAGTCGGACACTTAACTGACTGAGCCACTCAGGTGCCCTGCACTTAATAAATATTTATGAATGAATAAATATACTTGAAACTAACCCCCCACCTCTCAAGGGTTCCATTAAAATAACATGTGAGTGGGGAGCCTAGGTGGCTCAGTGAAGCATCTGACTC